AGACGGTCTTGAATATAAGATCTGACTATGAATACCTGCCTTATGTTTTTGATTTCAACCTATCAGGAATCACGTATTGTGGAATACGCGGTGAAAGCAGCAAGGTGTGTGCGGCAGCCCTTAGTCCGGATCTACAATAGAGTTTTAAGCCTTAAGCCATAAGAAATGGACCAATCATAATCGATTATTCTCCCCGAATTTGTCTGCCATTGGTCAATTTTTTACGACTTAAGGCTTAAAACACCTATTGTAGATCCGGACTTAAGTAATGTCTTAAGACTCTAATGCAGCCTTCTGATTGGTTCGTGACTTCTTATGACAGTACTTAAGACGGTCTTGAATATAAGATCTGACTATGAATACCGGCCTTATGTTTTTGATTTCAACCTATCAGGAATCACGTATTGTGGAATACGCGGTGAAAGCAGCTTTGCAACAGTTGTAAAATTCTCAAATACGGTAGATTTATACACTCTCTGTCGAGGGGCGCGCGGTACTACAATAAAAGTTCCCAATCGATAGTCGGTAAGTCGGTCCTAGTCGGTCAACGGGTCAAAGACGGTCTTCAAATTGTATCGTGTATTTGATGGGTCATATTGCAGTTTCATTGACAATAACACGTGTATTCTACAATAACGAAGATTTACTGTAACCAAAAAATCAATTAGTTTACTATATATCATAACAGTGTTAAATGGAGTCCGGTAAATCTGATTCTACCCCGAAACAAGCTATGGTATACATTTGTGGAGGTAAGGCCACGCATGTTGATGACTTTCTAACCTCACATTTTAGTAAATAACCTCTTAATATGATTGCTTGCTAATTATTATTCAATTATTCACATTTATATGTATATTTATAAAAAGTTTGTAGACTTTAGCATTTTATAAACTATATCAATAATTGTTTATGGAAATTACATTTTAAAGCGCTTTGTAAGTAGAGCAGTTTTTCGACCATGGTACCCATGGTGAACTAGTCTTTGAACCAGCTTTTTACCCTGAGAAAATAATTGACTGCACAATTATAATTCAATTAGGTATGAAATGAATAATTTTCTCATTGGGTAAAAAGTTGGTTCAACGATTCTGATTCACCCTGCATGTAGTAGTTAAAATGAAAAACTATTTTTGTTCTTTTGCCTAAGTTACATTGTTAATCAAGTTTTTAACTCATTATTTTAATTTATTTCAGAATGTCATCACGATAACGAGATTCGTGCCAAAGATGCAATTCGATGCAGAGAATGTGGATATAGAATCATGTACAAGAAGCGTACAAAAAGACGTATGTTTTTTAATGTTTTCGACTTAACACGATTGACATTTTTTTAAATATAATCAAGCAAACTCGAATTTCTAGAAATTTTTCTTAATCATATTCCATAATCTTGCTTTCAGTTGTTGTATTCGATGCACGATGAGTACATGAGTGGCGGACAATGGCGAGCAGCGTTATTTTCTTTATATCTGTTAAAATAGTTATTTCACATATAAGGGTTATTTAATTTTCAATAAAACAATATGCTGTATTTTACCGGAAATTAACTTTATTCCTGTCCTATATTATTTCCTGCGCCCAAAGTTATACTATCGTTCCTGCAACATCATCGTATAAAGACGCATTCGCGTATTATCACGAATCTCTTCGTACAATTTGCATTAGAATCCCTAGATCCGGTGAACATCCATCTAATAGAATTTGTTTCATGCATATCGATTCAGAATATAATGTACAAAATGCTTTAAGCAATGTTCCTTTTATTTACAATAAATAAAAATGACATTCTCATCAATATAGTTCAACAGAATTCACAGAGGAAGAGAAACGGCGGTGACACTGGCAAAACAAGTTGGCGTTATTACCATAAATCCCGTTGTCACTTTCTGAAGTATACGCTTATAAAATTTTCACTCTGGTCCCATTGTCTGCACTGAGAACAAAAAGTTGTTAACTTGACTAAATGCGTTTAGTTCGTAATGATTATTTAGTTCAAATATTTATATATTTAGATTAACAAAATCTTGTAATTTAAAACATATTATTTGTTTGAATTAACAAATATTTAGTTGAATTAACAAATATTTTCTTGACAGTCCGTGACTGCTACATTTAGTTGAATCAACTAATATTTTCTTGAAACAGCAACTTTTCTTTCTCAGTGTGATATATACATGTATAAGCGTAAACGCTCGATATACAGTATGGTTTTAATCGAAAGGTCTCAAGACAAAGTCGCTCTTAAACTAGAGATTTGTCGATGCAATTGGAGCTCGTAGGAGCACACAACATATTTTGCGCGAGTACAAAGAGACGAGGTATATTCTTGACTCGTCTCTCTCTCTCTCCCATGAAAAAACATTTATAAAATCTTTGAAGATCCTATAATACATATAAAATACTATACCGCCAGGTGTTTGTAAGTGTCACCGTTCGCACGCTGCGCGTATACAAAATTTAAATCATTCATAAAGATATGCAGCGGAGCGTAGTCTTCCTTTCTACGAAGACACCGTAAAAATTCAGGCGAACAGGTAAGTCGATTTTTGTCTCCGTAAAATGTAAATCTGTGTAAAATCATCTAGAAACTCGTACAAGCTCGATCTTTTCTTTCTATTTCCATTCAATGTCCGCAAAATCTAATACTAAGTCTGGAAGAAGCCAAGCCAACTGTTTTTCGTGAAAATCGTACCGAAAATATACCGAAATGATATTCTTCTACGGACGATGTCTCGAAAATATATATGTGTATGTATATATCGCAATATGAATCTACAATTTGGGAAAAGTACATTCCTTTGAAATCACATATAAGTACGTATGCAAATAGCCGAGAGAAAGAGAAAGAATATCTAATATGTATATACGTAGATGTGCGTTACACGTGTATAATTTTTGAAAATATCGCGTTTCGCGTGTGAAAGGATCGTCATTCAGGAAAAAACGTTTCATATATGTTTATAATTATATATAATTATATCAAAAAATCGACATATTTTATATACAATTATATATAAAATATGTCCACATGTAACGTTTTTTCCGGCGTATTTCCGAAGTCGACTTCGAAAAGCGCATCGTTTCTCTCAACAAATCCTGTCAAACGCAAATTGTGTTGGCTTGGCATTTCGAAGTGCGTGCACACAACACGCTGCGTCACATTCTTGAAGCTCATACGTGGTTAACGCGGTTACGGAGTCGACAGAATTACAGACAGTAGATGTACATCCAAAAAAATGCTATGTTAGATTAAGCTACGCTGATATCATTTAATGCGAACATCACTCGGACTGGACCTTATTGTATACCTGGGCGATCGTCTGGTTCTACGTTTACCGTATTATTCTTTTTATCCTGATTCAAGCACACCTATTAGGTACAAACCGTGATAACCGGAGTCTGATTATGCGGAATAGGAAAGACATTCTCGTGCTTGAGTGAGATATTAAAACTGCGCGTAGAATAGATAGTTAATTACAAGATACGGTAGCTGTCGCTTGTGGAAGGTGTATGGCCTCTTCAAGTTACTCACTGCAGTCATATTATAAGGCCACCAGTGAGAGAGAGAGAAATCATGTAAAGCTATTTTCCGTGTAAAAATTAATTTCTTTGGAGGTTTTTACTTGTTTAATAAAAAATGTATATTGTGATAAAAGACATTTCAATAATGGGAAAAAAATTCATATGATTTTTTTCGTCTTGGACAATTTTCGCTGTGGATAATTCAATAGAACTGCAGCGAGAAAACAGGAGGCATAATTATATCTTAAACGGAATCAGTGAATCGGTCCCTCAGACCATAACAAATATGCTCCATTAAGATTTAAAAAATAACTAGTAATATCAAAATACCGAGGTAACTAAATATTCAACAATGTTTGAGATAAAATCAAACTTATTAAGACGCTCATCACTTGATTCTTGCTTACAAGAAAATCTTTCAAGACAGGAAAACTAAAGAATCTACTGTGTGAATTAAAAGCGCTTAAATTTACAAGTAATCTGAGCAACCGACACATCTTCTTGATTTCTTAAAACTATTATAGAAACTAACATGATTTCTCGCGTGCGCGCGTTATATTTTACATAAATATATACAAACACATTTTCTCTTATGTCAACAATAATTCTCATAATTGTTATACTATATGCATAATATTGAACAAATATACATATATACACATATATGTATATACATATATATGTATTTATATGCATATATGTATGTGTGTATAAGTTTTATATACTAATTTAAAGTATAATATTAATTTGTAATATTAGAATACTCTTCAACATGTTGAAAGTAACTCATTTGTGCTTTAAATATAGAATCACATACCAGTCCATTGCACCTCAATTATTACGAGAAACACTATCGTGTATATAAATATTATAATCATATCAGATACTCGAATTACGTTTCTTTTTTTCTGCACTTTATGCGTTATACGTGCTGATTCCGAAAGAAAAGGTTTAAAATCTTTTAAAGAGGATTATACAAGTCAAATTATATCTGTTTGTAATATAAACAGGCAATGTTAGTAATGATGTGGTAAACGAAACATGCTCGAGATCGCGTATTTATCGCCGTCGTCAATAAACTTAATATGTGTATTTCATTACATATTCACGCGATAATATATTCCAGGTTCATATTTCAATTATGTTAGTCCTCAGAAATTTGCGAAATATTTCAACAACGTAAAATTATTTTGTATTTGCATGCAGCTTTTTAATAACGCTTCGTTTAAATTCTTGCAACATTAATTTTCAAGAAACGTTTTTTCATATGTAAACATCATTAATAGTATAACCTATTGAAATAGTTTTTTAAGACGACCGAGACTTTTTCATTAGGATATCTTTGTGATGCATTCCATATATGATACATTATTATAACCGCGATTTCTCTAAGTAGTATGGCAAACACCACTCGAAAAATTCTTTTAGCACGCTATATTGTTTTGGCACTATGTATCCTCTATCCTTTGTCTTTTGTGATCTTCCTTCACTACGAATTCCTCCATAATTCTTTTTTGAGTATTCTCTTTTTCCCTACATTTACCCGCACTTCTATCTCCATGAATATTTGTACTAGAATCCGTCTCAATATTATGTTCAACAAAACAGTGTACCTGTAACTCATTTACAGTACGCATAGATACGGGGCAAACTTGGCACTTGTACGATTGTAAACTGTCCTCCAGTCTTGCGTCTTCCGGAACGACCGCCGAAATTGGTCGCTGCTCTTTAACGGAGTAATCACGTCTATGCTGATTGAACTGAGGACTGCGGAGGCGAACGTCGTTAATAGCTTTCGGTTTCTCGGGGACGATTGACATGTGATATGGTCGAGAGATGTCTGCGTCCGTTGTCGCTTTCACGTATGTTGCATGAAGTGCGTGCTGCGGTATAGGCTCACCCTCATCTGACGAAGTCTC